GAACCATCCTTTTCTCTAAATCAAATCCACACGAGACAACGAAAGTAAGACACAATGAATACTTCATGTCAAAGTGAAGAACTACAGTGAACGAGAATCTGCACCTCCTATTTTTTTTCTAAACCTAATTTGATTCATATTGCCACTCAAAAATTTATGACGGCATTCTGGGACTGAAATAATTGAATCAAGTAGTTGCGGAGGCCCAGCCAAGTTCTGTTAATTTTCTTTGTTTTTCAGCAGAATAAAGGAAATATGGTTGCTACACGAGTGCATCCATAAACAGTGATAAAAATATTTTCTTGTGCGACTAATGCCTTAAGAAAGAAAACTACAAAGGTATTACTAATTAAGAATTAAGAACTTTGAACAATATGAAATAGTTGGATTAAGATAACAAAGCAACAATGAGGTCAAATCTAAATAACGTGCTACCAATCAATAAGGAGCCCTTGATGGTGTTTACTTTTGAATTCGAAGATGGATCCATGAACTTGTTGAATTCAAGATGGATCCATGGACTAGTTTTTTATTCTTTTCCAACTTCTTTGGTCAAAGAAGAAACAGGTGAGAAGTTCCCTTGGAGGGGAACTCAAAGTTTAATTGGTCTTAATGAAAAGAGCCAAAATCATATTTATCGAGGGTGGGGCTATTCCCAACCCCAAAATACCTATCCCCCCAACCTCCACCCCCCACAAAAAAAAAAATCCCTAATATTTGAACTACTATTCCCATCTCATTCTATACCACTCTCATTACCATAGTTTACACTCCTTCCATAATGAAATTAAATATACTATGCCCGTTCTACTACATAAAACAACAAAAATTATACTATCATTCCCATCCAACAAATGTGAAATGAGATTCGCAGCGAGAAGCAATATGCCCTCGCCTTCAAACTTGCAGCAAATACATCATTATAATTGTTGGAATTCGTATTTGCTTTGTGTGGGATATGTGAGGTGGGTGTGTGAGGTGAGGGTTGGCTAGGCTTAGTCGGTAATACGGTGGGAATAGTTGTTTTGATACTAAAAGGAGTTAAACAGGTGAGAATGGAATTGATGGTGTGAAAATATCTCCACCCATTTAGTAAACAGAACACATGGAATCGGGATTAAGTAGAATTCCATATAGAAGTCTCGACTTCGACCCATAAAAGACTAAAAAAGGAGGCCGTCTGGGCCATGCACCACATAATATCAAGGCTTTGAGGAAATTACAACGAGAAAGGCTCAAACCTACTTTACATTGAAGTACTAAAAAGTAACTTGAAGCACCATCCAGTAACGGAATTCAAACAGGGCTCTAATAATCTACCGACTAAAAATTAGCTGAAATACAAACTTCTATGTTTAAAGAGTTCAAGTGAGCCTTGAGAACTTCCATAGTAACGATGGAGACAAAAAATATATATTCAAGGATCGTTTTAGTCATACACACTAAACCAGAGCAAAAACTAAGAACTCCTTCAAGCTGGTGGGCTTATTTCAGTTAATTTCTTAATCATATAGATACAAAAAACAGAAAATATAAAATATAAAAAGGTCCAAGATTTCATTTTCTATCATTCTTTTTCTCAGAAACCAAACAGACAATCCACATAAGAATTATTCGAAATCAGAGATTAACTTATCATGATCAACCGCTAAATTCAAGCAGAAGGGGGAGGGGGGGTGGATTTGAACGTACCAGTATAAACCCTAGCGCTTCAGGGGATTAAGAGAAGATCAAAGCCTTTGTTTATCTCTCTCGATTAATCGAGGGGTAGATCTTTCAGGTTCGCGCTCAATTCTGCATCCGCAAAGGCTGTGGAGGTCTATCAGGTCTCAAGGATCGCACCCACAGAATGGCGTGATCAAGGTCAAGGGCTGTGACAGGTTTTCTGAGCGGCTGCACGTATAATCAGGTGTGTTTGGGACCACCGTAAATGATTGGCATCAACCAATCACTTAATAGGAAAATGACTTGGAAATTCTTTTGCCAACTAAAGCAAATGATTATTATTTTTTTTTTGGAAGAGGAGGGGGAAGGAGGACTTGAATCCTTGACCTCAGGAAGTCAAAGTCTTCACAAGATAAAGAGTACCATTAGACTAAAGACTCATTCAAATGAGCAATCATGTACCAAATTCAAAAATTTGATTTATCACAACGATTATATCAACTCAAATTCCAATATTTAATAGAACTTACTTTTAATCTAACTACTAGTGTACCGCGTGCAATGTTTTTGTACACAAAAAGTGTTTCCCAAAAAACTGCAACAAGGTGAAGCAATGATTAGACGATGATCAAGGAGTTTCTACATAGAAGTCAAGGATCGAAAGGACTTCAATGGTCGACACTCCAATGATAAAGTAAATAAAAGAATTATGGATGAGATGAAGTGTAGCTAGGAGGTGTTACTTACCTGGGCATAGTTGTCTCCTTCCTTTTATAGGCTAAACTCATGTATCGTTGGAACTCTGTAGCTACTTTTCAATTTGGGTGGCAAGAAATGTGGAATCTCTTTCCCCAAGTATTTGCAATTGGTTTGAGCTAAAATGGTGGGATATGGGCAAGCGAATCGTGAATTGGTTTGGGTTCTAGAGCTGGTTCCCTACATCGGATCCAATCCACATGTTTCTCTTGTGATTCCTCAAAGCACATACTTTACCCTAGGACATATTTAGATCCATTAGCTACCCCCTAGCTAGCTCAAACCAATAGAAGGTACACTGAAGACATTAATTACATTTGTTTGTTGGAATGATTAGAAGTGTTTGCTTGGTACATTCCACTGCCAAAGAGCTATTGTGGGCCCATATATAAGAGTTCTCCGCCTTCTATTGCTCACTCTGGATCCCATATGTTGAAGCCATATATTTCAATTTCTCTTTTATCAATTTTCCTTTCTGAGGTGCAAGAATTTTGCTTTAGAACCTCTAGAGTTTTTCATAAGTGAACTCGTTTGTACTCATCTTATCTCTATATTCGATTTTTGTCTTTATCTAGTCACTAGCAAAGTTAATTGCTCCCTTCCTCCAAATCTGTAAATCAATCACCACAATTTCCCGATTATGGTTATCAATTCTAATCATCCTTCTATTGGGATTGTTTTGGCACTTGTGGTTCAAGTTGATGCTGCCAACGAGGAAGAATCTGACTCTATTCAAGAGGTTGGGTCCTCAACCTTGAGAATCAGCGGAGCTAAGAGCATTTTTAGCTGTCTGAGCGAGGGCTCTCTTGAAGAGCTCAGGGCTTGATATTCAATTCCAAGTTATGTTTGTCTTCAGAGCTCCACTTCTAATGAAACTGCTAATTCCTTTTTTCCTTAGAAAAGTCTACTTCTACGAGTCCACATTTGAGGTAGGGTTCCTTTCACACTCCCTAACTATATCCGAGAGGTTCTCTATCTTTTGAACCTTGCTCCTGCCTGGTTGAATCCTAATAGTTGGGGTTTTTTGATCGGTATTGGCGTCCTCTAGGCCAAGACGAATGGAATCAGTGTGCAGCCCTCCTTTGTCGAGCTGTTGCACTACTATAAACTCACCCCGTGCTTAGGGTAAGGCTTGGGGTGGTTTTATTTTTCAAAGAGAGAGGGTCTTTCTCTATTAACAGGCTTCTCCTCCAATGTAAAGGAGTGGAAAAATAAATTTTTCTTTGTTTTTGGCTCTGGCTGGGAATTTGTGCCCTCTGAAACTTTTTTTCAGGAACTGTTCTCTCTATATATATATATACTTTTGGTTTTCAAAATATGCATTTAGTGTCTATTTAGTTCCCAATCTTTCAATTGTGTATATTTCGTCTCTAAGGTTACTAATTAGTATCTATGTGGTCCAATTCGAACGTCCGTCAAAAAATTATTAACGACTCTAGTCACGTGTCAATCATGTGGGACCAAATAAATACAAATTAAGAATTTTAGGGATCAAATAAACACAATATTAGGAATCACGTAATTGGAGTGTGATCAAAATTGTCATGATTTTCTGACGGACGTTTAGTATTGAACCACGTAGAGACAAATTAGGAACCTTGTGGACCAAATAGACACTAAATGCATACTTCGTGGACCAAAAGTGTATTTTACCCATCCAATAATTTTAATTAATTAAGTTCTCAGATTAAATCTCTAAATTTGGTACATATAATATTTTCCAAAACAAATTCATCCTTCTTTACCCTCTTTGCAGTTGTGAGCAAATTCATCCTCTTTTTAAATTGCTTTTCTAATATTATTCACAAAAAGAATTTCTTACAAAAATTACTCTCTTCTGTTGGGCTCCCATGCTTCATCTACTTGTATGGGCATAGCAGTGGCTGAGAAGGAAGAGCTGGTATAGAATGACTCAAAAATGAAGATAAGCCAGAGAAGACGATGGCGAGCATCAGCAATGAAATTGTTTCATTGTGACCCATGTGGCATGGATCAGGTCATGGAGATAACCCACCAACTTGTAGAAACAAGATTACATACATCTAATTCTCTTCAAATTATGCAATGATGAGAATCTCGTAAGCTACAATGTTCTTGTTGCACTCCTCCAGAAGGCCCAAAGAAACTATAACTTCCACCACAATACTTGTAGTAGGAGAATGTTGTCCTGTTGAAATTGTAGCACAGTTGGTAATGACATTTTACATGCGATTTTTCAGTTGGTCACTATAATTTGAATATCAGGCATGTATACACTGGAACACTGGTTTTCTTTCTGACCCCCCCCCCGGGGTCTGTTCCGTCGTAAATAACAATTTTCCCACCAAAAAAACCTATCTACCTCAAGTCATACATCAAAAAATTAACACCACTAAATTTTCTGGGAAAAGAGTTCCACTGAAGGACTCTGCCTCGAGAACTCTGATGCTGCAACATGATCCGATAGACATCATTGATACTTGTTCTGTTGCAGAAAGAAAATCATTGTTTGCTCCAGCTACATAATGAAATTACAAGATGATTGAAACAAATTACAATTTTGTGTTTTTGGATGAATATTTACTGACTCTATTATGGGGCTATTGATGGTTTGACGACTTTTGTACTCCTGTTTCGAAGTCTCTTACATTGTTAACAACATCTTGTATTTTGGTCGATAGAAGCTCAGTTTGCTCAACTACGTTTCTCAAAAATGTAATTAGCTGCTCTTGATAAAGGTCACATATTTTATCCTGACGCTCCAATTCCATTGTCAGTACTTGTATTCTCCTGTCCTTCGGATCCTACAAAGAAATGGCCAAGCAATTATTTCCTAATTTGGATGGAAATGTTACAGATATCAGATTAATTAAGGAAGCACACAAATACAAATTGAGAGAGACAGAGAGAGAAAAATATACACACACACACAGGGGGAGAGAGCTCTGCGAGCAAGAGACCCAATGCAACCCTTTGTGTGCCAATTTTTGTATTTCTGTGGAAATGAAAACTCACCATTGTATTGCGGGAAGGACAACCATAAACGACCAATGGATGAGTATGCTCCTTTATAAATCTTGTTAGAACCCAACTACTAGACTTATCAACCTTTACAAGCATCATTGCCTTACAACCTTCTCGAGTGGTGAGATGTGGTTTCCTAGCAGGCCCAAATCGGTCTCTCATTTTGACATAATAACCCTACTTATTACATGAAAACTGCCGAGAAAGAATTCTCTTGTCAACTTCCGAACGCCGGCACTGATCGATACGCATTACAAACCCTATATGCCTGGCATACATACCATAGAATTCCTTGGCTACATCTTCAGAGTCAAACTGCATGCCAACATATGGTTCTAGAACTGCAGTTTCACATGCAACAACCTCCCTTCCAATAGAATTTTCTGTTGTAGCAACTTCAAGATCTAATTCCACTGCCACACAAGATCATGCCTTATTTTCTAACAATCTCACAATGCATCCATACATACATATAGTAAAATTGCCCGGAGTATGATATTCAAATATATTGTCACAAAGTCTTCTACAATAGTCTTCAAAAACATGAAGAATTTTCTTCCTCACTTTCTTTTCTAGAGTGAGCCAAACTTATATACCTCATATTGTTGCAACATAGTGTCGAAGCTTAATTCAGCACCCAACACTGGCAGAACCAACTCTATCAATCGATATAACAACTGGAACTAAAGGAATTACATTAAATGGGAAGTTTATCCACAAACATATATATAAATAAAAAAACTATTGTATCTCACAAGGAATTTCCATGAACCATGCATTTAATGTTGCAAATTATTTTTCCATCACGACTCAGCACAAACTCAATCCAGCCATTCCCCATACTGAAACTCCATCACAATTAAAAAAAAATGTTCAACTATTAACCATAGATATCAAGGGGTATTTGTAAATTGAGGTTAGATTCAAAGTTTTAGCCAAACTTTACCCAGAACATTCAAACTTTCCAAGTTTCACTAATATTTTGGTGAAACCATCAATGGCTATGTATGATCCAAACCCCCTAAATTTTCCAGTTAGTGGTATTAACCATTGAGGAGCATGAGAATTATAATCATCTAGGATTTATGATTTACAATTGTTTCAAGTAATGTAGAAATATGAGATAGGAGGACATCATTGGCACAAATAATGGCAGATTAACAGCATTGAAATCCACAACAATTGTTGAGCATTTCATTAACGAATTGATAAGCAATATTAGCAATCTATGAAAGGAATATTGATCTAAGAATATGAGAAAGGAAGTGACGATGTGTATACTTACTGGGAATTGGAAGAAAAATATGAGATTTCCCAGCTCCAATGCCGACAGAACCTACTCGCTTGGTTTCTTCTACTATCTAATGCTCTGATCTGATGACACTCGCCAAGGGTTTTTGCGACGGACGTCACGGGTCGCTCGAATAGTCATTTTTATGTGGAAAAATTACACCCAACTTCTTTATGTTTGTCATTTAATCACTTAAATTTTTTAATATTTGATATATTATATACAGATCTCTTAAAATTTGTACACATATAACACTTAAACTCTGCCGGCAATGCCCGTGAAGTGATATCTAAAAAACGGTGCAACGGTGAACCAACCGGTTAATTTGAAAAAAAAAAATACTTTAATTAAAAAAATGAAATCAATATAGTCCCAAAATTTTTTTGGGGGACTATTTCGCCAGAGTTTGCTCTCAAAATAGGAGCCTAAGAAAATCTCAATCTATCTACAAAACTCGAGTCTGTTGAATACACAATACAATAAAACCTAAAATTCACAGCTCATAATCATACATAATAATAATCATAGTTCATAATCAAAATTCTCCCAAAATCACTATTCTGACCCTAATTACCAAAACAACCATAAAATCAAATCAAAATAAACTAATCATCACGTGTTATTAGTTCACTTCACTAAACTCAGAACAAATACATCAGACACACAAAGACAAAACTATCATCAAGACACGCAAAGCTAAAAATAAGACAAACAACCAGTGCCGCACTTTACAACCCACGCAAGTCCAATTACTTTGATGTAGATTATTCTTTATTTCATTTAATTAAAGAAAGTTAAATCAATCTAATAATTTTTTTTTTTGGTCACATAAATAACTAAATCTAGTAATAACCTGATATTTTTTAAAATTTCGACATAGTTTCTTTTGAAAGTAGGAGCTCGTAGAAATATCAATCTGTATATAGAACTAAAAAAATAAATGAAACAATCCCTCAAAATCAGCGATCCATATCCAACAACGAAAACAACCAGCAATTTCACATCAAACCAACACATATTCCCATAAACATAAAATTAGTTCACCATACTAAACACAAAATAAACAAAAACTCACGCAAATCCAATTAATTTAATGCAGGTTATTCTTTATATCATTTAATTAAAGAAAGTTAAATCAATCTAATAATAACCCGCTATTTTGGTAAAATTTTGGTAGAGTATACGTAACTGAAAAACAAACAAACATAACAATCTCCCAAAATCAATAATTCATACCCAACAACCAAAACAACCATCAATTTCACATCAGACTAAACATCTATAACATAAACGTGTAATTAGTTCATCATACTAAACACGGAACAAAAAAAACTCATACAAATCTAGTTAATTTGATGTTGGTTATTCTTTATTTCATTTAATTAAAGAAAATTAAATCAATAGAGTAATAACTTGCCATTTTTTCAAACATAATTGAAAAACAAACATAACAATCTATACTAAACTATGCCCAAGGGCATGACATAACTACAGTTTGAAATTGAGATGGTGACATCCTTGAAAACGCACAATATAAAATGCAAACATATTGTAGTTTTTAGTTTTATTTACCCCTAAATGCACGATACAGTTTTGGGAACAATTCCCAATCATATTTAGACTACACATAATATATCCATCATATCATATGTTTACCCAAAAAATACAACCTAAATAGCACAGTGTATTGATCAGTTGTAGAGTAAACAACTACATGCTAATTAGATCTACTGTGGGTTATGAACACGGCGGGCCCGCGGAAACAACTGACACATAATGCGCAGGAAAGTGTGTGTATCAACCTCAAGCTCCCATGTGATAGCTTGAACAACAATCTATGTAATGTTAAACACGCAAGTATAAGAATAGGGTAAAAACATATGGATAAAGTTTAAAAGAATAATATATCAATAAAGTACCTTCTTAGTATCCCAACAAAGAAGTCTATGCTCATTCAAAGGATCGAACACAGACGCCCACAAATTCTAAAAACATTGAAGTTTGTTAAGCATTATACTAATCATACAGACATTTATTCATTAAAAATTTATCGTCATACATGTGTGGAAGAAGCTATTAAAACTATAACAATAGTCATGAACATCACATGACATAATTTGCAATACATAAAAAAAGTAGTAATATTTACATTGAGTCCAACAACTCCTACAGATATATGATATCGTGGTAACTGATCCATCAGGAAGGAGAAGGACACTGATGTGATCGAAAGACGTGCATCTATACATGGCCACATATAGGTGACTCTTACTGAATACCCACAAGTGCAGATCTACACCCACAAACTTGACTGACTAGCCCTATGACTTGTTGATTGTCACAACATATGTTAGGGGTACTGGGAATTGACATCTAGTCATTTGTAATGGTAAATTTTTAGACAACGATGATAATGATATCCACGAGATGAAACACAGATTCCCAGATTTGTCAACAGTTAGAATTATAGTCTCAATGACCTGCAATGCGCACTTGACAACCCTAAATCTTGTCCTATTGTAGAGGCCATCTTTTGAAGCTATATTCCTTAATAAAATGATGGGGCACCCGACTTTTAGCTCCAACTTAAAAGGTGGTAAACCTGATGGGTTTAGGGAATTCAAAAACTCACTTGGATATTGATTAGTGGTAGAACAATTAAGGTCGTCACCATCCAACATCTTGTTAGTTACCAAGTAGGTACAGGTCTCTCTAGGATAAATTCGTAGAGCAGCATCATTGATAGAGCAAACGTCATCATTCTGAGTGGAAAGAATTATGTGCTCGAATAAATAGGATGGGGTTACTACACTGAGCATATCTAGTTGCGGATAAACTCTAAAAATTAGTTCATGCAAATTTCGAAACCTATGTATCGTTAGAGGAAGTTCCACAGTATCTTGCGTACTGAGATCCCAATCTAAGTTTGATGTGAATTTAGTTAGTGCATGTAAATGAGACAGTTCTATATGAATAAATTAAGAAATATATCACCTCTTCCAAGAATGATGCATGAGAAGAATTTGCAGGATGATTGTTGTTCAAACGCATGTTTACGCCCAAATTCAGTACGTAGGCAATTGCCCATTATGCAGAATGTCTTAAGGATGCACCAATATTTTGTTCTCGCCCACCCTTAGGTATCACTTGTAGTATTTGACGAAAATCCCTTCCCAACAAGATCATGATACTGCCGAATGGTTAATTATCATCAACTCTTGGAGTAAGAGCACCCACCTAAGCAGCCTAGACTTTGCATCTTTCTTTGTCAATAAGTATTTCAGAGATGCATGGTCTATAAAAATAATGATAGGGGATCCAACAAGATAAGACCTAAACTTGTCCAATACAAATACTACTGCTAATAATTCATTTTCTATTGTAGAATAATTTATTTGTTCATTATTTAAGGTCGTACTGGCATAGTATATGACATGTGGCTTCTTATCTTTACATTGCCCTAAAATTGCAGCCACTGCATAATCAATGGCATTACACATGATTTCAAATGGAAGACTCCAATCTAGGGATTGCATAATTGGGGTTGTAGTGAGCATGTCTTTTAGTTTATCAAAAGCCACTTGGCATAACTCACTCCACTCAAAAGGTGTGTCCTTCCCTAGCAGATGACGTAAAAATACTAAGCATACACATTTGAAATGTTGCAAGTGTATTGCAGAGTCCAAAAAGCATCATTCTATATGCAAACGTGCCAAAAGGGGAAGTAAAGGTGATTTTCTCTTGATCCTCTAGGGCTATCTCAATTTGGTTATATCCTGAATAACCGTCCAAAAATAATAAAACATGTGAGGCCACCCTTTCTAAGATTTGATCCATAAATGGCAAGGGAAAATGATCATTTCTTGTTACAGAATTCAATTTTCTATAGTCAACGTACATTCTCCAACCAGTTATTGTCCTAGTTGGTGCAAGTTTATTATTTTCATTAGCAACTATAGTGACACTTGATTTTTTAGGAACTAACTGTGTGGGACTCACCCATTTACTATCAGCGATGGGGTAAATTATTCCTACATCTAATAATTTCAATTCTTCATTTCCTCTTCCTTCATGTTAGGGTTGATTCATCTTTGCATCTCCCTAGATGTTTTGGCATTATCTTCTAGCTATATTATGAGTGAAAACTAAGGGACTGATCCCCTTAATATCAGCAAGAGTCCAACCAATAGCACCCTTGTGCTATTTAAGAAGTTGTAGTAGCATACATTCTTGTGTTGAACTTAGATGAGAAGAAATTATTACAAGAAATGTCTCATCTTCCCCTAAAAATGCATACATAAGGTCAATAGGTAATGACTTCAATTCCAGCTTAGGAGCTTTGGCACTTGATGAAACCGATGGGTTAGTTCTCAGCAGAAACTCCTCAAACTTTTGCTTTCAAAATTTGACTCCAAGGACCTGTGAAGAATTCAAAATAGAAGTTAATGCAATAATCTCATAATTCATTTCTTTTAAATCTAAAGAAGGTGAGCATTCTAAAAAGCATGCTTCAAGTGGATCCAAAGAAGAATCATTAAATTTGTTTGGAAGAATGGACTCAATCATGTTCACTTCATGCACCTGATTATCAACGTCCGCCAGTTGTTTACACATATTAAAAATATTCAATTCTAGTGTCATACTACCAAATGATAATTTTATTACACCATCCCTACAGTTAATCAGTGCATTTGAAGTAGCTAAGAATGGTCGGCCTAATATGACAGGGATTTGAGCATTAGCACTCAACACAGGATAATAAAATCCATAGGAAAGTAAAAATTACCAACTTGGACTAAAACATCTTCCACCATAACTCACGGTATTTTCATAGATCGGTCAACCAATTGAAGCGTCACCGAAGTGGGTTTTAACACTCCTAGGCCTAACTACTCATACACCAAATAAGGAAACAAGTTCACACTTGCTCCCAAGTCAAGTAATGCTTGTTCAATTTTATGATTTCCTATATAACACAAGAAATAGTGGGACAATCAGGATCTTTATACTTTGGGGGTGTCCTGTGACATTTAATTTACGTTTGCAATACACAAATCTTTCAAAAAATTTGCATAAGAAGGTATCTGATTAATGGCATCTAACAAGGGGATGTTGATTTTTACTTGCTTAAAAATCTCCAACATATCATTGTGCTTGTTTGGCTTGATAGAAATAAGTAATCTTTGTGGAAAAGGTGCAGATAATGGGTACCTCCTAGGCTTATGTCACCACTCTTAGAGCAAAAACTTCACTAAAAGACAAAAGTTGAATTAACAAGCAATTAAACCCTTGGATTTTACTATGTTATCCATGTCCTCCAGAGTTAATTGCTTCCCATTAACCTGTTTTTAATCTCTTCGTCTTTTGCGTTCACATTTTCTTTTCTTTCTTTCCCAACAATTTTTAGTCTTACTCGAATGTGCCGTTTCCATTCCCCCAAATTTGTAGTCGTTTTTTTATTTTTTATGGTTATTAATTATTGCATCTTTATTAAGTAACCTTTGATTCTATCTACTGTTATCTCATAAGTTGATATCCATGCCTACTAAAGTATCTTATGTCTGTTAGATTTTTCTACCATTTATTCTTCTTTTGTTCTTTAACTCGGGTGGAGTTCTGAAGCTAGCAAATGGACAAGTATCTTGGGCGAGATCGTGGTGTGTGCCAAAGTCGTTTACATCTTGGATATTCCCCCTCACTTTTTTTTTTCTTATATTATTGGCTCCTTTACCATTTGGCTGATGTAGAAATAACTTTTAACAACTGTCAGATAATGCGGAGAGATAGCCCATGAGCTTAGCATTTGCATGGCCTTTGCTCTCGAAGAAGAGGCTGAAGTGTTAGGATTATCTGTTGATAAACTTCGTTTGTTGCGACTTCAATTGTCATAAAATCTTTGGGAGAAAAAATTCAGTTGAAAGTTCCTTCACTTGTTGGTAAAATACCTTGCTTTTTTCTGACCTTATAAAGCCAGAGATCATGGACTAGAATGACAAGGAACTTCTTTAGATTACTTTCTATTATACAAAGGATTACAAAATAGTCTACTTGTGTATGTATAAACTGAAGTACATATTATCAGATGTATATCGGTGTCAGCCTAACCTTTAGGCCACTTAGGTCGTTGCCTAGGGCCCCCAAATTAGAAGAAAATTTGGGTTCCCAAAATAAAATAAATAATGATATAAAATTAAATTTTAGAATATAATTTAAATACTTAATATATTTTAATCATTGAATTAATAGTGAGTGCAAATTTTAAACAAAATTTAATATTTATCTAATGTACTTGGTTCTCAAATTAAGGGCAACTAGCATTATTGTAAAATTTTTAGAACCTATTTTAAAAAATTTAGGGCCTTAAGGTTCAACTTATTTTTTTTTATTTCACCCTATATTTACATTATATATATTATCACTTTGCAATCTAACTATTAAAATCAATTATATATCATATAATAGGTACGAATAATAATATTACATTTGTATAAGTTACATTTGAGGTCGTTTTTTAATAACTTTGTTTACAATGCACAAGATGACTATAAAATAGAATGAATAGAAATAATGTACCAACTATCTCAAATTAATTAACCATAGTTGTTTTACTAAATTTTTTTATTTAAAAATAACTATTTTTCTCTATGATATTTAACAATGTCTCATTTATTTTAGGACTACTCAACTTGTATAAATTCCTATTTTTGTATACATTCAAAAAAAATCATTTTATTAGTCAAACTAATTTTCAATTATGTTTCTCTTTTATCTTAAACAAATAGTATGTATTATTGTATTTGATCTTCGTATCTGACTACGATAAACACAATTTTAATTTGTAAAATTTGAATTAGTATGTTATATCTCAAAACAAATAATTTGTAAATAAACATATTTTAAGAAGTATTTAATATTACTATTATTACTGAATAAATATTTATAGGGATTCATATAACATTTTCCCCAATTTGAATTCATTTTTACTTCAAAATTTAATCTAATTTTAATTCATTTGGAAAAGCACAAGAACAACTCAGATTTAATCTACTTTTAATTTAATGGCTTAGATTTCATCTCCATTATTCCAAGTTAATCCAAAGGCTGACAATACATCCCCACAAAAAACTTATCCCGCCCAAACCCTTTACACGGTGCCCAACTCAGTTGTCAGACACAATTCCCAAGGGCCCAACGTCTCTCTTCTTTTTCTTCTGTCGGTCTCCTCCTTTGCGACCTCTCTCTTCCCTTTCAACCTTCACCGGTCACCCCCACCAACCCAGGTAAACTCTCCTCTCTCTCTCCCTCTCTTTCTCACCTCCAAGAGAACACGAGAGAAGTCATCGCTCAGAATGAAGCAGACGAAGAGATAGACAGAGAATGGGGTTCGAAGCCCGGTAGCAGAGACGTTGCCTCCGCCCAGAATGAAGCCATCGATCGCCGTGAACGGTTGCGGAGACTCACCCTCGAAACCATCAATCTCGCCAAAGATCCCTATTTCATGCACAATCATCTCGGCAGGTCCAATTACCTCTCTCTCTCTCTCCCCCTCTCTCTCTATATATATATTTGTGTGTGTGTGTGTGTGTTTTAAATGATTAGTTGAAATTGATGTTGCTGTGAAAATTGAGATTTTGAAGTTATGAGTGCAAGCTCTGTTTGACACTGCACAACAATGAGGGGAATTACTTGGCCCATACACAGGGGAAGCAGCACCAGACGAACTTGGCCAAGGGAGCTGCTCGCAAGGCCAAGGAAGCACCAGCTCAGCCTCAGCCTCACAAGCGGAAAGTCACTCTTCGAAAATTAGGTAAAATAATTGGGTTCCAACAATAATAGAAATGACTTATTATGTTGTTATTGTTCAATTGTATACCTAATTTATGGTTCAAATATGTTGCTCACTTCCTAATTTGTATGTCATAAATTTTATTTTCTGGTGGCCTACAGTGAAAATTGGTCGGCCTGGTGGCTTGATGGAATAAAATCAATTAAAAAATAGTCGTTCATATTTTTTTGCCAATTGAGTTTATTTGATTGTTTGGGTTAGTAATCTATTGCTCTTCTTTTGGATCCAATTTTAAGGATTCCTAATGCCAACCCCCATATTGCAAATACTAAACAATTTGAGAATGGTGGCGTATGTCACTTCGACAATGCTTCTCGACAAAGCAGTGACAAAAATTCTACAGGTCAATTTACAAGATACATAGTGGAAATAGTAGCTTCCAACACCAAGAATCCCACCTATGATGATCCAAAAACTCCAGACACAGTGTGTTATATAGTGTCTTCATGGTTATATTTTTGCATCTCTATGTGTTTTGTGTCTCTAAACAACAATCTCAAAAGTAAATAATAGTGTTTTGTATTATAGATGTTGTGATTTTTGCCGTGATTGTATTGCAATCCCACGATCCCCATCCTTAGTTCACCATCCCTTCAAAGCTTCTTCATAAGTGCAACCTTTTTCACACTAGGTATGTGAAAGGGAATTTTCAGTTGGTAGTTTAATTTTGGATAGTTGCATCATATGAGTCCTATTTTTTTTTTAAAATCCAGCTCATTGCTTTTTCATCATACGACTACTTTGTTATGTTTTTTCACTTTGTCTTTCTCTAATTTTTTTAATTAATTACTTAAATATTGTTAACTAGGCATCTTTTGCTTAATGGCTATCTTTGTTGGTTCATCACAATCTTTATGTTTTAAATAATAGGATCAAAATGATGGATGTTGTTGCTATTGAATTAAGTGTTCATTTTAAAAGGTGATTCTCACTTTTATTATAAGTGATTCTTCCTTGATTTTGTATTGAGTGATAAACGTGTCATGTTTGACAAGAGGTTGTGGATTTAACTTCATTGAAATTCTTTTATTGCAGAAGTAAAAAATTCAAGGAGCAGTTAACATAATAACATGCTTTGAAAAATCAATTTAGTAGAACCGCCTAACTAGAATTCTATTTCTATGATACACGGTTGCAATTGTCTTAATTAATAAGTTGTGCTAACAACCATCTCAATGTATATTTTTCACTTCATCTGCATAGTAGTTGGATATCAAGAACTCATCCACTATTTTTTAAAAAAAATGATATTTGTATTCATGTTGAAGTTGCTTTCTTTTATTTATTTCTTTTACTTTATATTTCTTTCTTTTATTCCCTTGCTTTCGCAGCTTAATCAACATTGACGCAAAATAAACGGATAGTTAAACTGTAATTCTTTTTTTTTTTTTATAACCAAGGGATTATAAAATAAGAAATGTGTGTGATTTCATGTGGGTTTATGTGTTGTCCAGGTAAAAAAGTTTGTTGTTTGGTCATTAATTGCATGAATATTAGTGGGTCTATGTTGTGGTAGTTAGTAAATCTTTTTATTAAGGCAGGATTATGGTTGGTGAGTGCGATGACTTTGGGGTTCTGTCAAAAATTGGTGGACCCCAATTAATTTCAACAAGTTTGAAAATCAACCAGTGCTCGAGTTTTAACTTTGTTTAGTGAATTTTAATTTTTTAATTGATGATTATTTGGCTTATGCAGGGTGAATGAATGTACTTAGTTATTCATATTAGCTTAAGTTTGGTGTTAATTCAGTTTATATTTGTATCTTATTCATTTTGGTATTAGATATTTGGGTCATTATATTGCAGCACTTGATAAATAGTGATAACAACAATATGTGATGTGATGAGATTTTTGATGCAAGATAGTTTTTATTTACGTTTTGATTATGAATTGTACACAGGTTGATATTGTGTACTAGATCATGCTTTTAAAGAGAACTCAGTCGATTTTTTTTAAATAACAGATTTTTTATATTAACTATTGAAATTTTGTTTGTTACGCTAACTATTTTGATATGAGATTCATATGTGAGGTTATAATTACATGCAATATGTTATTGGTAGTAGTGTTATTGAACAGGTGATTGAATATTTAAATAGTGGATCATGATGTAATGAAAGATATATGTGCTCTAGGTTTACTGAATGCAAAGGTTAGCAAATTGGAAATAGCCCTAAAGAAAGAATGAACACTAGAAGCAGTTATGTGTGTAGAAATTGTGAAGGTAAAACTCTAATTTTTTTCTTTGTCTCTCCAATTTTGTGGATGAATCAACTTTGTGGTTCTTTTAATAGGATTTTAATTATTGAAATGAGCACTTGGAAGTTGATAAGTTTTAGATGCATAGCCATGTCAATTTTATCGATGTTTGTTCAGTTTTCAACCTTTTTATGTTTATTTTGCCTTTTCTTTTGTTTGGGAGCAATTGAGGACCAAAACTTCAAATTTTTTTGGAGATTTGTGCTCTTATTAAGTTGATTCTTGGCATTTATTGGAATAATGAGTTTTTATGACTCATGTCAAAGCCATGGCTCCATGTCATTCTGCTTTCTTCCCATGTGTTTAGTCTGTCTGTGTACAAAGTTATTAGAGCTTGAAGCAATAGGAACTAATAACTTTCTGTCCTTTTGCTACATGTTTCTAAATGGACTTTTAAATACTTTGTTACTATTTTTGGTACTTCTCTACACATTTAAGTAACAGACCATATTGTTTGAGGTCATTAGTCTAACAGTAGATTTGAGCCATTGCAGACTGAACTGATATCTGGGGACCAAAATGGCAATATTTGAGTATGGGACTTGACGGCAAATTCATACAGTTGTGAGTTGGTATGCTCTGATGTTCTGTACCTTCACTACATATTGCATCTCCTACTTTAGACCTGAGTCACAATCAAAAGTTGATGAAGTGGTCTTTTGCTTTCTATGTTTTTTTGCTCTATATTTTGATAAGAAAACTTATGCGCTTTGATGGGCCCAAAACTTTGTTTCATTGTCTTGGTGAAAATCTATGGTTCTTTTTTATATTATTGATTTGGTGGGTATGTGGATGTTTGCCTTCTAGTGCTCTCTCTCTCTCTCTCTCTCTCTCTCTAAAGAGGTAGGTAGATATAGTTGTAAGGTCTTTGACAGTAATATGGGATGGAAGCTTGGTCGTGGCTGCAAACAACCGTGGAACATGCTATGTTTGGCGCCTGTTGCGAGGAATGCAAGTATTATTTTCATGAATTTAAGTCTTAGATGTTATATTCATTGTAAGTTATGAAATTATTATTTAAAACTTATATTGTGTCCTATTGCAGACTATGACCAATTTTGAGCCACTTCATAAGCTGCAAGCTCATGATGGATATATTGGCCAAAAATAATAAATATTTTTTATTTAATACATTGCACCTATTTTGAACCAAAAAATTGCACCTTAGGAAAAACAATTAGTTGAAAAAAGCAAAAAAATCAAAAATTAACCCAAAATTATTTTTGTTATTTTTCAGAGATTTGAAAATACATTGTGTCCTGCTTTGATATAATACCCCCCCTTTTTCTTTGCTTGCCTGAGACCCGACCCCCCCTAAAAAAATTCACACACACAGAACAAACACACGCACACACTCTTCCCTCTCTGCCCAACCTACACTCGCATAGACCAATCCACAACACACATTGATTTTTGTTTGCTATTGTGTCCCAATTCCAATTTTCAATTTAGTTTGCTCTTTTTTTTCATTTGAGTATGCTCACAATTTTTTTAATTTTTATTTTTAAGACTTGGTCACAAGATGTTTGAAAAAATAACTGATAGGGTTTGGTTTCTTGGTTTATGTGGGTAATGGGGACTGTTTAGTTTGTGATTTTATGTGGTCTCCAAAGTGGCATGATGTTTGAGTGGTGGTTGAAGAGTAAGTATTTTTTATATAACTTGGGTGCAATATAGGTTGAGGATTGCAATTTGTTTCACAGTTTGTTTGTTTTTTAGATCGTAGGTTGTGTAATTAGTATTTTATTGATTGTCTATACATGTTGATAATCTATTGGGATCATATTTTTAGGAGAAATAATGTCCAAATATTTTTAAAAGAACAAAATAAGTATTTTTAGATTAAATAACATAAATGATAGCTTCAGGTTTTAACCATCTCTCTAATAACTAAAACGAAAGCATTTTGACCCTTTTTATTTCACTAAAGTTAGGACATTAAAAATGACGAAACGATTTTCAGCTTAATGCATGTTTATATTCATTGTTTGATTGTTCCCTGTTTAAGAATTATGTATATTGCCTTTAGACACGTGATATAGGGCGAGTTTAGACTTTTAGTTTAGTATATGTCCGAGTTTAGTACCTAAATATTTCACGTTCAAATGTAATGTTCAATTTTTTTTAGTTGCTCTATGCCTTAAGGCACGTGTTATCTCTAGTATATATATAAAGGAGGATTGCAAGGTGAAAAATCTTTTCAACTTGTTAGTGATCAACATAGGATAAAAGTAGCATGTAAAGGACACAACTAGTTGAATACCAATTATCTTGGTTTCTTTAGAATTCATAGCATCATGTCCTATATAGCAATGAATTAACTGGTCATGTTCATTTGTTAACTCAAAGATTGTTTTTTTAAAAAAATTTGGTATTCATTTAATCTAAAATGACTAGCTTACAAAAAAAAGTATGACATGGACTCCTAAAATTTATGGTTCAAACTTGTTTATGGACCTCTCATTTTGGGCTTTAAGCACTCCTGACTAATAATTATTTATATACATCATTCATCCAATTTCGAAAGTTGGAAAATAATTTAAATAAAGTTTGCATAAAAATATTTTATATGAAACATGGTGAAATTTAATCGTTTCAGGATGAAAATATTTTGAGTTCTTCATGGGCAAGTACTTCCCATCGGCTGCTCGACATGCAAAAACCCGGAAATGGTTGGATTTGAAGCAAGGGACTATGACGATGATGGAATATGTGGCTAAGTTCACCGAATTAGCCCGTTTCGCTAAGGATTATGTGGCCACAAACATGGCCAAAGTGAGGGGATTTGAGGATGGGTTGAAATTGTCCATCCGGGAGGAAAATTGTGGGCCATCACCTACAAGATTTAGACTCGATGGTCGAGACAGCCATTACCATTGAGAGGGAGGTAGATAACGCAAGGAGCATCTGAGAGACGGGTGCAAGGAAGACACCACTCCTAACCCATCAAGGAGAGACGGGTCATCCAAGAAAACGAGAGACTCCTAGCAAGTAACCAACATTGTCTTTAAGGAGCCTATCTATCAAGTCCTAAACCAAATCAAAGACAATGAGTATTTTAGGTGGCCACCTAAGATGATAGGAGTCCATCAAAGCGGGATCAAA